GAGAGAGAGAGAGAGAGAGAGAGAGAGAGAGAGAGAGAGAGAGAGAGTCTGGGAAGTCACTTCATCCCTTATCTGTTGAAGGGTCTTTATTTCCAACTGTGTCATTATTCTCTTCACTGTGACAGAATGTCTGACAGGAACAACACTTATTTATTTATGTTTTATTTGCATGTATGCCTGTATGACAGAAGAGAGCATCAGATCATCCCATTTTAGATGTAGATGGTTGTGAGCCACCATGTAGTTGCTGAGAATTGAATTCAGAACCTTTGGAAAAGCAGACAGTGCTCTTAACCACCATTCGTCCAACCCTGACAGGAAAAATTTAAAGGAAGAAGCATTTGTTTCAGCTCATGAACTCAGAGATTTCAGCCTACAGTCCTTTGTTCCATTCGTCATTTCCCTGGCTTTCTGCATGGGTTTCTGCATGGGTTTGCCCACTAAGCAATCTCCCCACTCCCTCTTTTGTTTGATTGGTTGTTTGTGACAGAGACTGGATAGGTAGTCCAATGGCTGGCCTCCAACTCATGCTCATCCTGCGTCAGCCTCTGGAGTACTGAGATGAGAGGGCGTACTACCGGCCTTGTATGAAGCCTTTTGCAAGAACAACTGATGATGCGCAGCTGCGAAGGCTTTCAAGCTATCAGCACGTGACCGACAGTCAAACTGCTCAAAGCCTGAAGAGATTCTGTGGCACGAAGCAGCCAGAAATGGACGGGAACAGGATCTAAGACAAAGCTAACTGAAGAGAGAGGAGCTGAGTTCGAGATCCCAGATGGACAGATGGATAGATAACAGACAAAAACGTTGAGGTCCAAAGTCTTCCACGACTACAGAGTGAGTTGGAAGCTTGTTGAGACCCTGGCTCAAAAGAGAAACAAAACAAAGCAAGAAAATCCTGTTTAACTCTAATGAGGTAAGAACCCCTGATCCCCAAATGGACGAATGTTCTTTCTTCATTTTTCTCATAAACTTCAGCGGGTACTGGGGGCCAAACACCATAAACACACTAACAATTGATAGATGGTTCTTTTGCTGGAGGTTTTTATTTATTTACTTTTGTTCATGTGTAGACATAGGGCTGTTGAGACCGCTCGGGGGAGATAAGTTGCTTTTTTGAACTCACAATCTGCATTCAGTCCTCAGAATGGCTAATAGAAGAGAAAAAAAAAACCTTAAAAGTTATCTTCTGACCTCCACAGGAGTGCCACCATATGCACACAGAACCCCTCAACACGCATGATAATAATAGTAAAGAAATACAATTTTTAAAATTAAAATGTATAGCTAGACTTCATTAGAAGTTATAAGGTCTAAGCTTCTTTTAATGCCCAGGGACTGCTGTATGCCACAATAGCCTTTGGAAAGTCAGGCAGGCAAGTGACTGAACTGGTCTGAGTGACTGTATTATGTAAGCTGGCAAGGTGTTGGCTGTTATCCCCTGGCATACCTGGTAGAATTTAGCACACTGAATTTCTATATGGGGTGAGGCTGGCTTCAAACTTACTGTGTAGTTCTAAATGACTTTGACCTTGTCATTCTCCTGCCTCCACCACTCAATTGCTGGGATTACAGGAAAGCACCCCTTTTCCTGACTCTTCAACTTCTACATTCTTGATTGGGGCAGGGGTGGGGGCAAGAAGGCATTTTTTAGATAAGGTCTCACTGTGTGATTCTACATTGACCTGGTCTTACAATGTAGACCAGGCTGGCCTTGAACTCAGAGAGATCTGGTGCCCCTGCCTCCCAAGTGCTGATATTGCAGGAGTGAATAACCATTCCTGGCTCAATCTCTAGATTCTCTGTTTTTTTCTGGATGTTCGGAGAATTAAACCAATGGCCTCATGTGTAACTAGAATGCTACCCATGAATAACAGCCCCAGCTCAATGTTTAGATTCATGGAGTCACTCTTTGGTGGGTCATCAATGCCTGGTGTCAAGACAGTACACATACAAGGAGTCATTTCATCTATCCTCAATTCCCAGAAGTCATTTCAACCCTGTAGCCCAAAGGAGGTGGGGTGGTATCCTTTGGTAATGGCAGTTTTGAAGAGTAATTGTGAAAAACGTGAATTGAGGTTGCTTGCTTCTTGAAATGTTCAAACAGGGTGGAAGTCCCTGAAACAAAGATTATATTTTATCCTCAGTAATAATTAACACTATTATTATCGTGAACAAGTATAATAACGTCTTTCTTCAGTAGTGTGACTGACCTCTGCCACTGTGGGAAACAAGACTCCCGGAACACTGAGGCCGGGGTAAGTGTAACCAGAGTAGCAACACTAAAGATACAATGGGATCACCCTGTGTCCCAGACACATCTTATGCCAACCCATTTCCTCCCCCTACTTCCTTCCCACTACAGAAATCTTTCTTGTGGTGACTTTTTCCGTGATGGTGGTAGAGATTTTGGAGACACAGTATAGATTTATAGTCCAGGCTGCCCTTGAACCCAGAATCCTCTTGACTCGGCCTCCTGAGTGCTGGGATTTGAGGTATGTCTGTCTGTCTCTCTCTCTCTCTCTCTCTCTCTCTCTCTCTCTCTCTCTCTCTCTCTGGAAGAGCAGTCAGTGCTCTTAACTGCTGAGCTATCTCTCCAGCCCCTTGTTTTCTGTTTTCAAACATGAATTAACTAGTTAAATAACTAAACATTGAATAATTTTTACTTCTGTAAGTAACCATTTCCCCATAATTCTGTAAATAATAAACTCATTGTAAATAATAAAACTCATTGTCCACGGGGGGCGGGAGGAAAGAATAAATGACAAAAAAAAAAAAAAAACAACCATGGGAGTATGTGGGAAAATTCTCAGAAGCACAGAGGATTCTTCTCTGTGTATCAAAACTGTCTCTGTAGCAACTTAAAAGAAAAGGGGGGTGATGGAGGGATGAGGGAATTAGGGATGTGGGCAGTGCGCACCTTTGTCCCAGTTCTAGGGAGGAGAGGAAGAGAGATCTCTATGAGTTCCAGGCTAGCCAAGGTTATATAGTGAGACTCTGTTTCAAAAACAAAACAAGCAAGCAAACTTATGAGAGGGTCTGGAGAGATAGTCCAGGGGTTAAGGACACTGTAATGTTTGAATGACATATCCACCATGGGTGTGCATTTGAACACTTGGTGTCTGGTTGATGGTGTGGAGGTGATGAAACTTTTAGGACATAAAGCTCTGATGGAGGAAGTATATCACTGGGGGCAGGGTTGAGAGTTTACAGCACCACCCCTCCCCAAGTCCTTATTAGCTGTCCCTTGGCTTCTATGTAGGGCTGAGGTATAATCTATATGCTACCATGCCTTCCTCGACATTATGTATACACTCTACCTTGGGATCTGTAAACCAAAATAAAGCCTGCCTTCTCTTGGTCAGGATGTTTTATCTCGACAGCTGTGACACAAAGTATCACTAATACAAGTCATGGATACAAATCCAGACTGCCCTTGAACCCAGAGTTCAGTTCCCAGCACCCATGTCGGGTGGCTCACAACCACCTCTAACTCCAGTTCCAGGGGATCCTCTGCAGGCACCTGCACATCCATTCATAAACACACAGAGACAGGTTAAAAGAAGAGGACTAGGAACTTATGAGGGAGGCAGGCATGGTAGGGCAACACTATACATAATCCAAGGCTTCAGAAGGTGGGGACAGGAGACTCAGGAATTCAAGAGTATCCTCAACTACATAGTAAGTTCAAGGACAGCCTAGACTATATAAGACCCTGTCTCAAAACAGAAACGAATGAACAGCCAAAGATACTTACTAAAATGATAGAGTAGAGTTCCAGCACATAGATCCTCACCCACAGATGGGGGTATCTTGGCCAGTGAGCTTCATTCGAAGGAGGGTAGTTGACAAAATTCCTCCAGCAGTAACAAGACTCTAAGGAAACACAGAATTTGGTTTATTTAACAAATACAACGGTAAGTGACTTAAAATGACCTGGGCATAACGCCTGCAGTCCAAGCCTTTCAGGAGGCTGAAGCAGGAAAACTGCAAATTCAAGGCCAGCCTGCTGTACATGACAAAATCCAAGGTAGCCACTTAACAGCCCTTCCTCAAATGAAAACTAAAGAGAGCAAGGATGGAGCTCAGTAGTGGTGAGTCTCCAGGTATGCTCGTCTTGTACAAGGCTTTGGCTTCAATTCCCAGTAGCAACAACCACAGAGCATGCGCTCTACATAAAGGCTCTCCTATTGGCTACTAGAGGTGGTCTCGCTCGGTAAGAAGTTAAAGTGACTGGGAGGCAGAGGTACCTAGAGTAGGTGGGGTTGCTATTGTCCATCCTTCCATTGCTAGGAACATCCTTCCTCCCTCACTTTATGTTGGACTTTCGCCTCTGGGAATCCCAGCATCACCAGCCTGTGCAGTCTGCCCCCTTTGTCACCACCACGGTCTCAGGAGCATTCTGCTTTTACCTTGCTCCGTCATGATCTGGATAGTCACACCGCTGCTAATAAGGTCCCTGAGTCCTTGCCGGTTTCGCTGATCCGAGTGGTGATAAAGTCTTGCTACATAAATAAACAGAGTTATGTGGGGGTGTCGGCTCAAAAATTCTGTAATGGCTTTGGAGCACTCCCCACAGGGACTCCAGGACAGGAACCAGGTAATAGAGCATCTGGTGTTTGGACGAAAGAATCTTTCTCTAGTAAACTTGTCTATGAAATTGATTTCAGCATGTTTGCTGGTGTTTTGGCTCGTGTGTCGCCAGATGCTGTGCCTTCCACCCCAGTTGATCTCGTACAGCAGACAGGTCTCTTTCCGAAGTTCACGAGGGTCAAAGAAGACTTCAAACTCGTGGGGCTCAATTCTTCTCCTGAAACAAAAAGACTCCCATGCAATCTAAGAAACTTAAAAGGCCTTTCTCATGCCTTTTTTTTTTTTTTTTTTTTTTGATCTTACATATTCCAGGCTGGTCAGAAGCTTGATACAGAGCTGAAAGTGACCTTGATCTTTAATTTTTATTTTAGTGTGAGCACATGTGCACACACGTGATGGATTCATACTTCTGCATGTATATGCACAATCACTTGCTAATGTGTACACATACAGAAGCTAGAGGTCAATGTTGAGCGCCTTCTCTATCATTCTCCACCTTATTTTTCAAAACAGTCTCTCGATGAACCTCATTGGCCAATAAGCCTCCTGGAGCCACGTGACTCTGCTTCTACAGTGTAAACAAGCCACCAGGCCTGACTCATATGTGGATGCTGGCAATTCAAAATCTGGTATTTGTGCTTGAACAGTTAAGCATTGTACCCAATGAGCCCTCTTCCTGGCCAGACCGTAAACGTTGATATCCCTGCTATCCCTGCTTCCATCCAAAGGACTGGAATTACCAGTGTGTGGGAACCTGGGGCTTCGTGCGTTCCAGCTCCACCAACTGAGCTACCTTTCCACCCCTTTCTCTTTTAAACGTTTATCTTTCAAATTGCCAGGTATAGCGGCACACATAATCTCAGCACTATGAAGGCAGAGACAGGAGGGTGACACGTTTGAGAGAAGCTTGGTTTCCCTAGCGAAATTCTGTCTCAGCACTATACTGAGTGAGGATCTTCTTTGTAGCATGACACCGTAGGTGTTTTTAGTCCTAATTGTCCCGCTGGTCCCTGAACTATCAGATTATCCACAGAGGATCCATCTAGTGGGCACGGTGGTACACCCAGTGCTAAGAAGTCTAAAACAGGTGGGACTCCAATTCCAAGTGAATCTGTACTACAGCGTGAGACTGACTCAAAAAAGCTGAACAAAGTGGGAGCAAAATGTAGAGAGAACAGCATGGGAGAAGCTGGAAGGGAGAAGCTGGGGGAGGAGAGAAGCTGAAGGGGAGAAGCTGGGAGGAGGAGAGAAGCTGGAGGGGAGAAGGAGGGGGTGGAGAAGCTGGAGGGGAGAAACTGGTAGGAGAGAGAAGCTGTAGGGGAGGAGTTGGGGGAGAAGCTGGAGGGGGGAGAAGCGGGGTAGATTTGATCAAAACACGTTGAACTCATGTACAGAATTCTCAAACAGCAACATTTTCCAAAACCGAACAAAGAAATAGGTCCTATATTTAATTCCCAGAACCCATATGGCAGCTCGCAACCATCCATAACTCCAGTGCCAAGAGATCTCACACCCTCTTCAGACCTCTGCAGGTACTAAACACACACACACACACATACACACACGTATGCACGCATGCACACATACAATCACACAGATAAAAGTACATACACATTAATAATAAAAGCAAATATTTACAGGCACTTGCCTTTAAACCCATCACTCAGGAGGCAGAAGTAGGTAGATCTCAGTGAATTCAAGAGATCAGCCTGGTCCATATATACAGGGCTACAAGAAAGAGGAGGAAGAGGAGGAGGAGAGGAGTGGGGGAGGCGGCAAAGGAGAAGGAGGAGGAAGAAGAGTTAATTCAGTTGGTCAATCATCTGGCTGAGGGATCACCCCCTTAGGAGGGCAGGACTACATTAAACTATGCCGAAGGAATAGGAGTAATTAATTATTCCTCTAATGAGATTATGTCATTCCTTCTGGAATTCCTGCCCCTGTGCAGTTGCTCCAGAGATGTCAAGAGGTTCTGTTGGGTCAGTCTGCCTTTCCAAGTCCTTGTGCTGCTTTGCTCCATAGCAAAGAGCATGCTGGGAATTTGCTCTGGGCTGTAGAGTGGAGGATGAGCCTCTCTACCTCACTGCTGAATAGCTTTTTTTTTTTTTTTTTTTTTTTTCCTGACTGGCTGGGCTGAGAGCTGGCAGGGAAGGGTGAGCGTGTTGTCAACACAGGGCATTTACCATGTACAGCTGCAGCTGGTTTTCAAGCATGATGGAAAACATACAAGGAGCCCGGTGGAGCTGGGTTTGGGGAGTGACAACGTTTTGGGGATTTTCAGAACTATGGTGCTTGTCAAAGAATTAAAATGCTCCAGGGCAGAAATGGGGAGGGAGGGGTTGCCAGGGTACTCCTTTAATCCTAAACAGTAGGGGCTGGAGGAGCTCTGAGTTAGAGGGTAGGCCCATATGCAGAGTTCCAGGACAGCCAGAGCTACACAGGAAACCCTGTCTTGTAAAGCCAAAAATGCAATAATAATGATGATGTTAATAATAATGATGACATTAATAATAACAAATTAATAGTAATTAATTTTATTGACATTTATTGCAGTCATTCTATAATTAATACTATTAATATTAATTAAATTAATTACAAACATTATTAATTATATGTCTATATATGATAGTCATATATAATAAATTATTATTATTAATAATAGCTCCTGGAAGTTTAAAAAATGGGAATGGAACATGGGATGACCACCTTCTCCAAACACAAGCTGTACAGGAGGCTTGTGGACACAAGTGTGGGGGAAGGAACCCACTTCTAACAAAGGGAGAAGGGCAGAGTTTACTGATGCTCCATTCCTTCCTTGATTTCCAAGGCTCTCTATTCACTCCATTTTGTTACAGTACTAATAAAATAACTGTAAATGTATGTAATCCTGACCGAGGAAGACTTTGGCCTTCTTCTCTCTTCCGCCTTTTCTTTCAGCTGTGCTCTGAGCCTAAGCATGCGTTCCCTAGGATGGTAGGCTGGGCTCTTTCTCTCCAGCTCCCTCACACACTGTGTGGCTACTTGTCCACCCTGCAGCTGACCTCCAGGCTGACTGAACTCAAATCACATCACCGTTCTCTTTCTCTTCTCTGTCTTCCCTTCTAGGCGGATGCAGAGATTTACAGCTTGTCTGTCCTGAGGTTTTTCTTTTTAAACTCTCATGAAAGTGTGCTTGTACATTTTTTTCTGACCATGTCTTAAATTCTTTTATTAACAAGACTTTGAACCTTTTAAGAGAAGACCCAGATTCCCCCATTAACATTGGTGATTCTGGAAAAACCTGGAAGGACTCCCTGAGATTTCCATTAATGTTGTGAAGTTGTCTTTTCCCAGAACTACTGAGTTTGATAAATAGGTCTATGTTTTGGAATGTATTGCTGCCTACAAGCTGAATAGTGCTTTCATCATGGCTTCAACTGTGCTAGGGTCTGGGGGCCTGTTACAGTAACAGTAATTTAAACATAAAAAGCCATAGGAGCGAAACCCAATCACAGGAATCATAGAAATTAAGCTGAGGAAGCAAGAAGAGATGAAGAATGGTAGGTAACCTAGTGAAACAAACAAACAAATCCAAACCTGTAGGTCCCGCCCCCTCATGGCAGCTCCACTACAATCTGAACTGTGTGGAGTCAGAACCCAGAGTGAGAACACAACTTCAGATCCCAAGGATGTATCAGCAAGACTAAAACAAGTCAATTAATAGCGACCAGGGGACGTCTGAGGGCTGGAGAGATGGCTCAGCAGTTAAAGGCACTGGCTGCTCTTGCAGAGGATCCAGGTTCAGTTCCCAGAACCCACATGGAGGCTCACAACCATCTGTAACTCTAGATCCCCAGGATCAGACACCCTCTCCTGACCTCATCCAGCACTTGACATTCACCTAGTGCATGCACACAGACTTACATGCGAGCAAAACATTCACACTCTAAAAGACAAAAAAAGTCTGCTGACGTCATTTCTAAGTGATCTATAAAAGTCCAGTTTTTCAGAGACCAACAAATTAATTCTTTTCAAAAAGATCCTTCACCAGGAGGCAGTAGATAAGGGCTTTAAAATGCAAGTGGAAAAGCACAAAATTTTCAGGACTTAATCTTTAGCCCTAACCCCTGAGAACTAACACAGGACATGCCAGAGTGACTTGGCACAGAGATTTATGTTCCCTTGAGAATGGCACATCCAAAAAAAAAAAAAAAAAAAGGACACTTCAGCTTGGAAAGCCCCTACAGGAGCTGTGGGGACCAGGAAAAAGCAAATGTGTCCACACATGATAGATAGCGGGCTTCTTGAAAAATGGTTGGAGAAAACAGTGCTCTGCCATGGATTTAAGCCTTTAGACTCAGCTCTGGCTTCTAGGGCAGCTTGACAGAAGATAAATAGGTATAGATGATAGATAGATAGATAGATAGATAGATAGATAGATAGATAGATAGATAGATGCATACATACATACATACATGCACACATGCATAGCTCTGCCAGGACTTTCCATAAACCTTTGAAGAAGAGCACAGCAGAGACTGGGCAGAGTCTGGAGAGATGCTCTGGACCAGCACACAGTGGTTGGTAAAGCATCAGCACTTTGGGCTTTGATTCACACTAGAGTGAGATTTGTGTGGAAGTGACATGGGGATTCCTAATACAGGGACGCAGCTCTGAGCCCTGCTTTTTAAACTTTTACCACCAATCCCTTACACACAAGGAATTTCCTGTTTTATTCAGTGGGCCACAGTGTAGCTGGTTTCTAAGTTGCAAAACAAAATAAATTTAGCAGTAATAATGTATCTGGTTACACTGTTACAAGTGTTTATTTTTCTTGAAGAGAAAGAAGAAAAGAAAGAAAAAAAAACCTCAACAGATTCTTAAAATGCACAATGGCAGATTTAAAAAACAGAAAGAAAATGGTTAAAACATGCTCATGTTTACTTTTGTGCAATTGTGTGTCACCGAGAAACAATTTTCCACATGACAGAGGCACACTGACATACATGTCTCAGCATGTCTCATTCCCTAAAGACATTGACAGAAAGAAAGAGAGAGATGTGGCACTTACTGCCCAGGGCTTGCTCAGGAGCACTGCTAAAGACCACTCTGACTGGAGCATGGGACTTTCGGCTCAGCACACCTGAGCATGCCTGTCAAAGCCAGATACCCAGAATAATGTTCGTATAGAAAACATTGTTTTAAAAATTACGTGGAGCCAGGCATGGTGGCGCGCACCTGTAATCCCAGCACTCGGGAGGCAGAGGCAGGCAGATCTCTGTGAGTTTGGGGCCAGCCTGGTCTACAGAGAATGTTCCAGGACAGCCAGGGCTACATAGAGAGACCCTGTCTTGAAAAAATAAACTTTAAAAGTATGTAAAAAGCAAATAAACTCATGCATACATACAAACACACGTGTGTGTGTGTGTGTGTGCGTGCGAGTGTATGTGATGTTTTAAATTCTCTAGTTTTCTTTTTACAGTGGTGTAAGCATTCTCAGTTCCCCTCATAACTGCCTGAGGTCCTTTTGGAAAGAAGAGACAGAGCTTTGAGAAGTCTCTCCAGATCCCACCATTGGCCCAAACCAGGAAGTCAGAAGTCAAAGCAGAAGCCAGGGATGTCTCAGTGTGATGCTGTCGGAGTGATGCTGTTGAGCTCTGTAGTTTTTGTGGCATTGGAGCCAGGAACTGACAAACATGTGGTCTTTGATCAGAACCAGGTCCTTAGACAAATCACACAAGGAATTTTTACAGGACCCTGTGTACATTCATATAGAAAATGTACAGTCTATTTAGATGATAGAGAAATGTATTTTAAAACAATTTTAGTATATATACATGTGTGCATATACATACATATATATATACATATACATATATATAATTTTACCATTTAATAACAACAAAAACAAATTTGCATGCTATAGCCCTGTAGTTCTTTTTTGTTTGTTCAGTTTAACATTTTAAAATTTTAGTTATACATGAGTGCACTGTATGCATGACAGAAGAGAGCATCATATCCCATCATAGATAATGTTGGGAATTGAACTCAGGACCTCTGGAAGAACAATCAGAACTCTTAATCCCTGAGCCATCTCTCCAGACCCCCAGTCATGTAATTCTTAAATGTCCATTTCTGTGATTGAATTGGGAGGACCCATGCCTGTCTTACCTCAAAGTGGGATCAACAGCTACAGGGCCTGTAAACCAAGAGATGATTTTGTCAAACAACACCCAAGTTCACATTGAACTGCCATATGAAATTATGTTCTAGTCTCCCAAACCTACAAATCATATGGGAAAAGGAATAAAGGAGCCTGGCCGGGCGGTGGTGGCACACGCCTTTAATCCCAGCACTTGGGAGGCTGAGGCAGGCGGATTTCTGAGTTCGAGGCCAGCCTGGTCTACAGAGTGAGTTCCAGGACAGCCAGGACTATACAGAGAAACCCTGTCTCAAAAAAAACCAAAACACAAAACAAAAACAAACAAACAAAAAAAAAGGAATATAGGAGCCTGCCCAGTGGGGCACAGCTCCCTTCCCAGCACAGGACACTCTGGAACAAGGAAACTCAAGTTCAAGTTTGCCTAGGTTATACTTTTGAGATCTGACCTCAAAAAAAAAAAAAAAAAACAAACCCTATTTTAATCAGTTTAATGGGAAAGTGACTTCTAAAAGGATCTTAGAGATACAGTTTGTAAATTATGAAATATAGATTATGTATATCTTATTCCTGTATCTCATTCTACCCAAAACATGTTAGCTAGCAATGTGGAATATTCAGTGATGACTGGATGCACTTTAGCCTACTGCAGTCATGTCCTGTTTTCTCTATTTTTCTTAAGTTTGTTTGGGGTGTTGTACAAGCTGGACATACCATATCTTTTCAGGCTTAGTTTTCTAAAAAGCCAGAGAGACCCTCTGTCCGTACAGGCTGCATCTCCTTTCCTATAGCCGTAATGACAGCGATGGTGGCTAATACTTTATAACTGTAAACCTTCTTCAGAATTCTATAAAACTTGGATTTACGGTTTTTCCTTTTAAAACAAACCGATGTCTACTTTCCCAGGTGTTTATACTTCCAGCCTACAGACACAGAATAATGTACAGTTATTAACAGCGAAGACAAGATGGGGTGCAGCTAAGACGGTGTTGTTAAGATGCAGTGTTAGTGGTCGGTGGGTTATCAAACAGGTAAGATGGGGTGTCCCCTACAGTGTTAGTGGCCAGTAGGCTATTTGCCATCCTTCCTTTTCTGTCATTACATGTTGGTAAACCGTCTTCTGTGCTGCTTCCTGTATATTCTCCAATTTTTTCCAGAGCCGGGGATTTTAAGGATAGAAGTGGGGTTTCCACAGCATCACCGTGGTTACATCATCCACAGACAGCTGTCTTTGTTCTGGAAGAACGTCCTAAAACACCAGCCTCACTTCTGCCGTATGTAAACTGTTGAAACTCGGTGCTTTCACTCCTCACAATTTTGATCCTTTTCTTGTAGCTTTTGACACCTGACTTGTAATTACCAGAACTACTGTCTTCTTGACTCAAGCATACAGAAGGAAGGGTGCATTCTTTCCCAGATGGCTTCACCATTGCCTGGGCTCATGTTTGTTTGTTTGTGTCCAGCCCCAAACCAATTAAGTAGCAGGCAAATGTGTCCAGAGCACTATTTCAGTCATATCTCTATACTTCAGATATTCTCAAGGTTATCCTCAGCTACATAGTGTGTTCAAGGCCAGCCTGGGCTACGTGAGAACTTGTCTCAACAATAAATAATAGATAAATAAAATTTCCAAAAAGTCTCCAAAGATTTGAACTCTACCAAAAACAATAGTAGTAGTAGTAACAACAACAATTTTAGGAGTTAGATGCAATCTACCTCATCTGAAATCATTTCCTTCCAAAGCTAGGCATGTTCTCCATCCTGTAATTTCTTTGTATTCCACCTCTCAAATGCATGTGCTACCCAGTCTGTTGTATATGGTGCTGGGAATGGAACCCAGGAACCCTGCATGCTAGTCAAATCTATCCAAACTGAGCCATATTTCCCAGGCCGTTTGTTTGTTTAAGAGTAGGTAGGATCTCATAGCCTAAGCTGGCCTGAAACTTATTATATTGCCCAGGACAGCTTCAGATTCCTTGTAAGCCTCCTGTTTCAGCCTCTAGACTATTTAGATGACAGGTAGAAATAACCATATCTGATTAACATTAATTAATCATTGACTAGTCAGTCGACTAGCATATAGACCATTATTACTACTTCTGTTTTATCTTAGTAGTTTCAAGTTATAGTTTTACTTTTTTTTCAGTGGGGGGTGGTGGGGCTGAGCAAGACTGAGATTGAACATGCTAGGCAAGCATTCTACCACAGAGCTGTGCTTCTACTCTTCCTACTTAAAGCTTTTTAAATTGTATGTATGTGGTGATTGGTATGTATGTATGTATGTATGTATGTATGTATGTATGTATGTATGTGCCTGTGTGTTCATGTGTGCAGGTACCTGTGGAGGTCAGAGGAGGACACTGAAACCCTTGGAGCTGAAGTTCCAGGCCATTGTGTGCAGCCTCGTGTGGATGCTGGGAATCAAACAAGAGCACAAGTCTCTTGACTGCTGAGCCATCGCTCCAGCTCTCTGACCTTTTCTAAGGGTCTTGCTAAGTTACCTAACTTGAACTTACCTTATAGTCCACGAAGACCTTTAACTTGTAATTCTCCTGCCTCAGCCTCCCAAGTAGCTAGAATTACAGGCTTATGTCACCAGACCCAACTAACTTAATTTTTCTTTATTGCCATGAAACCAACATTGACTTAGTATTATTTGTCAAAATCATTAGGAGCTATAAATACTTCCTCAGAATAGTAATTCATCTTATGAACAATATTAGTTATTAATTATAGTAGGGAAGCTGGAAAGCACCCAGGGGCCCAAGCGTAAGCAGGTCAGACTCATGTACAGCTGATGCACTCTTCAAGACCATGGAACCAAGCTAAGCGTGGGAGCAAGCACTTGGATTCCCAGACACTCAAGTGGTTAAATGAAGCAGGAGGATAACCTGGGGCCAGAAGTTGAAGGCCAGCCTGGGTTAGCATGACAAACTGTATAGTAAGAAGCAAAGAAAAGAGGAAAAATCAACTAAACACCTTACTAGGACCCAGTGTCCCTTTACCTGTCTCGGAACTCATCCTGCTCTGTCTCTGGACCCCTTCCTCCGGAGCTTATGTTGCAGCGATGGCTTCTGCCAGCTGTGTGCCGGACTTTATCCTAACGCCGGACTCAGGTGTGCCCACAGCCACCTGCAGGGACACAGAATGACTCATTCCTGAGCTGAGTGTCTGTAGAAACTTGGTATCTGTACTATGTAAATGAAGAAGGAAGTGGCATCTGGATTTTTGTCCTCCCCCCAGAAAACCCACGGAACCATCAATTCTGCATGATCGAACATTGATGATATTACATTCCAAAGTTCTCTTAGGTAACATCTAAATCTAGAAAGCTTTCTCCTTCCTTCAAGCTCAAGTGAGAGTGAGAGAGAAGCCAGTACAGAGTCAGGGAGAATGAAGCTGTTCCTATAACTAAGAAGTCCTCAGTGTGACCCAGTGAGACTGTTATGGGTTTTACCTGTTACTCCCTCTCATTTGCCCTTTGCTCCATATGTCTATTGGAAAAGGGAGGGGCAGCTTAAGATGCGAAAGCAGGACCTTGGCCTTTGAGTCAGATAACTAGTGTGCAGTTCTGGCGCTCTCTGCCTTGTGAAGGGAAGGTTAACTGTATGACTGAGTCTAATCTCTACTTTAAAAAAATGTTAATATGCCGGGCAGTGGTGGCGCACGCCTTTAATCCCAGCACTTGGGAGGCAGAGGCAGGCGGATTTCTGAATTTGAGGCCAGCCTGGTCTACAGAGTGAGTTCCAAGACAGCCAGGGCTATATAGAGAAACCCTGACTCGAAAAAAAACAAAGCAAAAAAAAATGTTAATATGCTATTCTCCTCTATAGCAATCCTCTGTTGCCAGAACTTTGGGTCAAGTTCAGGGTCAAGTTCAGGCTACCAATTCCTCTTAGGCTCAGCATCATCCCTCAAACTTGAGATCATTCTCTCAAGGTCTAAGCCTCCCACTAGGATCTTCTCCCTAGATTCTGGTGTTGTGATAAAGACCAAACACAACTTGCAGAGGAAAGGGTTTATTTGGCTTACATTTCCATGGTACACTCCGACACTGAGGAAAGCCCGGGCAGGCTCTCAAGCAAGAACCTGAAGGCAAGAACTGAAGCACAGGCCGTGGAAGAATGCTGCTTACTGGCTTACTCTCCCTGACTTTGTGCATCCTGCTTTGTAATACACCCCAGGACCACCTGCTCAAGGGTGGCACCGCCCACAGTGGGCTGAGCCCTCCCCATCAATCATCAATCAAGAAAATGCCTACAGACTTACTTACCTACAAACCAATTCAACAGAGCATTTTCTCAACTGAGGTTCCCTCTCTCTGGCTTGTGTTTATCTTCTGACCCAGAATTTCTACCTCCTAGCACAATCTTAGGTCTGCCCACCCTACGGCTTGGAGGCCAGCAAAGATGACCTCCACACAGACACCCTTAACAGTCTTGACCCCTGGTAAAACTAGGAAGCAAAAGCATCGTAAGTGCCCATCCTAAATTGTAAAATATCGTATGAAGATGGAGGCTATTAAGGATTTGTTGAGGAGTGTTCAAGAAAAGTTTCTTTTTCCTGGTCAACAGAATGAAATCTGAGTTCTACCTGGGTGGAGACCAAACATTCAGGTCTGACTAAAAGATTAGAACGTTACTCCAGCAGGGCCTGTCAATCACCTGACAAGGAGAGCATTCCACAAGCAAGCTGACTCACTCGAAGGCATGTCAGAGGTGTGAGGAACGACCACTGCCTTCATGAGCCCCCAGAAGCTGTTCCCCTGATGCAATTGCTTGCAGACCTTCACTGCTAACCCTGCTTGCCTTTTCTGAGTTCTAACTCAGAAAGCATAACTTTTTCTTTTTCTCTCTTTCTATCTCTCTGGCCAAAATTCTCCTTTCTTGGTACTTTGGACATACATTCTCTCTCTCTCTCTCTCTCTCTCTCTCTCTCTCTCTCTCTCTCTCTCTCTCTCTCTCTCTCTCTGTGTGTGTGTGTGTGTGTGTGTGTGTGTGTGTGTGTGTGTGTGTGT